AGGCTAGTTATCTTTTAGCTAGTTTCATTAGTTTTTGTTTAGAGTATACTGAACCATAATTTAACCAATTTAGTTTAATTTATGCTTTTTTTTCTTACTTAAGCTGTCTAACAAACTTTAAAAAGTTACATATTGGAGCATTANTGTGTGTGTGTGTGTGTGTGTGTGTGTGTGTGTGAAATAATGAAATTTTTGCTGATTTGAATCCAATAAAAATGTCAAAAATCTGTAAAACATTTATGAAAAGACTCATTTTTAATGTGGACATTACTAACAGTTGTAGCCTGCTTCTGGCCAAAAGCTCTGATAAGTTTACCCAGAACCCTGGTTTACTGGAGCAACAGAACCTGCAGAACACACCTCCAGCTACCGTCAGTGTAAATCACATGAATCCACCGGTTCTGCTCCTCCTCCTCCCCCGTCTGCACTAAACCCTCGTCCACCGTCTGAACACCAGCTCCAGGGCGGGTCCGTCTGCTCCGAGACGGGCTTCAACTGGTTAACGTGAACCCTGAAACCTAAACCTTAATCCTGGACGCATTAGCGCCCGGCGCTGAGGAGGTTCGGGCCGGATCAGGCCTGCAGCTCGCAGTGACATCAAACAGAAAACACGACGAGTTTCAGCATCTGTACAGTCGAGAGGATTTTATAAACGAATGAGCAGTAAATAGTAAACTCTGGCTTCACCGGAGGCTGGTTCAACATCCAGCAAACTGTCCAGACTTTGTCTCGCTTCAGATTAAATTAAGACTCCTGCAGCAGGATTTGGACCCCTGTGGCTTCAGGAACTTAGTCGGATGATGATAAGAATTAGATCCACAGGTTCCTGTTTGCTGGTCAACGCAAAATGATTTAACTTACAGAGAAACTCTGAGCAATAATAGTTGTTTTGTTAATTATTATTATTATTATTTTATACCCTCCAGTCCTGTATCGTGCAGGTTTCTTTCAAATAATAGCAAATATCTGCAAAATAATAATAATTCTTACTAATTTAAATGCGGCAAATACAGCAGAATTTCACAAACTGGTTTTATTCCTTTTTTTTATTTTTTGTTATTTTACTGCAGTTTACCAAAGCAGCAGACGTCATTTAAATATCAGTAAACTGAACAAACAATACAGTTAATTTGACTAAATTGTCCTTTGGCGGGTGTTTAAGCGACGCCAGTTAGTCCGTCCTCGTTTCGTTTTTCAGTTTGTAAATCTGAACTGAACCTTTCTTGTTTGGAATTCTTTGCTTTCATCGTGTCCTCGCTGAACGCTGGAGATGCTAATCTCTTATCTGCGCCCAGCGACGCCCGGAGGGGGCAAGAAAAGAGCCGCTGCACAAGCTGTGGCTTCCTGGAATGGAGGTTTGACTTATAAGGGGGCAAAGCCGCAAACGTCAGGACAGAAATACACCAGAGAGCCGAGAGGCGCTGCCGGACGGCTGAGCGACCGGGAGGCCAAGTTCAGCTGCAGAGCGTCAGGAGCCTCCAGGAGGTCGGCTGGAGACCAGAACACGCTGCTGCTGATCGAAACGTTCTGAAACCGTCAGTCTGAGGTTTATTTAACCACAGGATCCATTTATTATGATGCATTCAGTATGAAACCTCTCAGGAGAGCTGAACGATGAACTGAACACGTCACAGCGTTTTAATTTAAATGATTAGAACTAACAAACGACAGTCGCTCTGATGAACCGTCTGTCCACAAACATGTGAGTCAGAAACCAGTTCCTGCTTCTGAAGGGTTTTAATCTCTGAATCCACCCCAGTGCACATTTTTAACAGTTTTTAACAACCGTAAACTCAACAACAGAATTTTCTGGGTTTTTACTTC